CGAGATTCAGACTATAAGTGCACCTAGAACCTTCAGGAAAGTTCATCGGCTGCAAACATCCAGTGGTTAGTTTGCTGATTTCTGGCAGTGGGAGGGAGATGGAGAGAAGCAGAGCCTTGGTTTCTGGTGTACCCCCAACAAGTCTGGTCCCAAAAGCTCCCCCACCTTTCCTCATGCATGGCAAGACTTAAGTTACTCCCAGTACGCCATCATTTGCAAATCAGCACGATTGCCCTGCAAAGCGAAACCCCTCACAGGCCTCTTAGCAGTCTGGAATCCTGGTTTTGCCCTGCAAACCAGGACGCGGCTTGTGTGAGTGAACAAGAAGCTACGGGAAGCTACGGTTTGCTGCAAAAACTGGTCACAAACAACAGGGTAAGCAAGGCCAAGGACCCCTCCAAGGTGGATTGGCACTAAATACCAATGACCACAGGCTGTCATTGTTTTAGGTCTAAAAACAAGCCATAAAGAAGGGCACTCCCTTTCCACTGGAGGGAACTGGCTCCTCTTGTTAAGCAAGCACCCTGTCACAAAACCTCTGCTCCTTAGTTGGATTTAGATGGACACAGCCCTGTCAGTTGGATGGGAAGCCCTCCCAACTCACTGGTGGCAATGCATAAAACCTCCTTGTGGGTGTGTAAACCAGACTGCTCGCATAAAATAGCTCAGCTTGGAAACTTGCTGCATGCACCCAATGCTAAATTACAGGAAGTCGATTTCAAGCATGGGGACTGATATTAAAGAACACGCCTTTACAGAGAGCCGTGTTTTGTAGCTGCCAGCTGCTCCTTTTAAGGGCTCCACTGTCTTGAAACAAACACCCCTCCGTTTTTCACATACACAAAAAACGGGTTTATGTCAACACGCGGTGGAAAGCTCTCTCCTTTCTCAAGGCCAAGAGAGACGACCACTTGCCCCCATTAGCCCCTCCCTCTGCACCACCGCTCACCCTGCAGGCTCATTTTGGTTGCGTCACCTCGGCAGATGCAGCAGACCAATGTTCCCCTTTGGGAGATGTCTTGAAACCATCCTGCCAGCAGCCATTTGCAGAACGGCATAAATGGGCAAAACAAGAAGCAGCCACCATTTTGCACAGCCCCTGCCTGTCCCCCCCCCCCACTCCTTTCTTTTGCATGGCCACTTGCACCC